GCTTGGCCAGCAGCCACATGGTCTTCATCATCCTACAAAGGGCAGCCTGGTGCAGGGAGCCTCTCTCTGAATTCGTAAACCAAAAGCCCTCTCAGACACTTTCCATTATCTCTCTAACCGTATCTTCTCCCCACTTCCCTCTGTCATGACAAGAAACTTGGGAGAGGACAGGATTGAGGCAATACCAGCTGAGATGCCATCAAGGAGAGATCTCACTCTGGAAGAGGAGGAGAAGGGGCTTCAGACTCACCTGGTTCCCAAGAAGGAGGAGGCAAGAGAAGGCGATGAGAGAGCAGGGACTTGGGCTGCCTTTTATACCTGCCCTTCACTGCCTCAGGACCCGAGGCACCCTTTGCAGAGGTAACAATTTCCTCACAAGCTCATCTTGAATGCAAATCCCCACAGCTAATGATATGGGCTGTGATTTTTCCTGCACTGCTGCCTTTTCATTTCCAGATTTGTGCCATGCCCATTCCCCAGTGAAGGCTTCTGCTTAGAACATGGATGAAAGGCCCCAGGATTTCTTGGGCAGGAAGGCAGCAGTGCTGGCAGAAGACTCAGCTCAGTTGCTGGACGGGTCCAGAGTAGACAACTGACATTAGCCTGGGTGACTCTGGTGGGGCTGTTGGAAGTGTCATTATCAGGAAGAATCTTCAGCCATTCCTCAGGTGTATGGCATGGACTTCCACTAACCCTGATGGTCACTTGTTGTTACCTCCCCAGGTGTAAAACCCCAAGGTTTTCACCCCATTTTCTTTAAGACTGCCCAGTCTCCAGGGGTTTCCTGGCCATCTCAGTGATGGCCTTTCTAACATCCCTAGAGGTGTTCAAGAAACGTGTAGATGTGGTGCTTAGGGACATGGTTTAGTGAGTTAGGTGTTGTTGGGTTGGACTTGATGATCCTTGAGGTCTTTTCCAACCTTAATGATTCTATGATTCTGTGATTCTATCCAGTCTGACCTTCTGTGGGCCAGATGTCATCAACCATTTCCTACGTGAGAGAGATTTCTGTACCCTGTTTATGAATGTACTTTCTGATTTCTAATTAAAAATATGAAAATCACTATGCTGCATGCTAGAATTGTCAGGACATTTCCAAATCTAAAACACCACATCACTTTCCAACAGTCTGTTGTCCCACCTATTTTGGGCTTTGTTTTGGAAACACTTTGATGTGATGGCCAAAGTCTCTGAACTGAAGAGCTGTCAAATGCTGGCTCGGTCACAAGTCTCTCTTTCCACTCTTTGGGAGGACATCAGCACTTCCAAATGGCACTTGACTCTCCCCTTCCAATTTTATTTTCAGAACAGATGAATCACATTCTCAAAGCTCTCCTTTCTGCACACTGACAGTGAAGGGAGTCCATGGGACCACTGCATAAGGAGGAGGCACCAACATGGCAGATGCACCTTTATGAACGGTGTGGGATTGACTTCTTCTGAGTGCAGAGCTCTCCAAGGGAGATGATTAAGTCCAGACTGAATGTCTGCTCCTCACTTCTGGAAGCAGTGGTGCTGTCAAAGGTGTTACTAAACTCCAGGCACATACATCCCCAGCCCTTCCCTTCTCCACAGTGCCCATCACCTATGGAGAAAGCAATGAGGTTGACCCTTGGCTACACTGGAGCCTCCACTCAGGAACAGCAGCACCACAGAGAGGGGAATGTGCTCTGGCTGAGCTCTCCCAGCAGAGCTCCCTGGAACTGATCACACCAAGGTCACTAAAAGGAGGGGGGAAACCTTTGGCTGCACTCACTCCAAGTGGGCTCCGGAGCTCTACGCAGTGTGCACTGCCCTTATTGGAAAGACGGTCTCTTCTGGACAGCCCTGCGCAATATTCGCAAGTTTCTGGGATGTGGATTTGAATCTAATGTTCTTTCCCTCCTGGGGCACCGCCTAGGGCCTCAGTCTGAGATTCCAAACTGGGACATGAAGGTCCTGGGGGCTGAACGTCAAAGTAGTCATCAGTTCTTTGGCTCTGCCTGTGCAACACACAGTGTCTCTGTCCTTCCACTCAGAACACAGCGGTACCAGGCTCTGTGTTCCTTTCACTCAGTACCTGCTTGGTCCACACTTGGGCATGGCCTGGGCAAGGTGGGCAGGATTCCTCAGCCTTTCTTCAGGTCCAGAAAGCAGCCTCTATCCTGTTGAACTCTCTAGCAGCCGTGTCCTGGCCTGGAGAGGCAGTGAGTGGAGACTGCCAGACATGCTAAGGCACTCCCAATGTTGTTGTGATGAATTAAACTAAGGATCCAAACTGCTGAAAAATGGCTCTTGTTGCGGCCTGAAATCAGCATCAGCAGAATGTGCGCTCTAGGGGGTGCAGAAGAAGGAGGGTTCAGGAGGCAGGGGCTGCATTTCAGTGCCACTTCCCTGGACGAGTCTCTAACAGGCTGATGTCACCACCCTTCAGCTGCGCTTGGGCTCTTGCTGACACTGGGAACCTGCACCATAGTCTGTGTGTGACAAAGGACACAAAAGGATACACACGCTCATGCACATCAGTGTGAAACGATGCACAAATTTTTGCACCCACGTACGTTCACACAAACCCAGCTGCACACAAGAGCACACAGGACAGGAACACAAACCGTGGACTCTGCTGAGGACAGCTGGGAGACAATCATGGCAGGGCCAGGGCATTGTGGGGAAGGACGAGGCCCCAGGCATGCCCATGGCATTGTTTGTGTGCTCACAGACTGCATGGAGAGGGCCAGAAATTGCTCCTGAGGGCAGTGTTAGGCAGATGGGGTCAAAACCCAGCAGCACAATGCACACAGCTGGGGAGGAAACAACAAGTAAACATCAGGGTGAGCTGAGGAGGGAAGGAACAAGAAGGATGTGGTATGTGCTCATGCACAGGACCCCTTGGGCATACAGCTGAGTATTGCTGGACGTTTTTCCTGAGAATGACACTTCCAAAAGCCCCACCAGAGTCACCCAGGCTAATGTCAATTGTCTACTCTGGACCCGTCCAGCAATTGAGCTGAGTCTTCTGCCAGCACTGCTGCATTGCAGCCCAAGAAATCCTGGGGCCTTTCATCTGTGTGCTCAGCAGAAGCCTTCATTGGGGAATGGGCATGGCACAAATCTGGAAATGAAAAGGCAGCAGTGCAGGAAATGAAAGCACAGCCCATATCATTAGCTGTGAGGATTTGCATTCAAGATGAGCTTGTCAGGAAATTGTTACCTCTGCAAAGGGTGCCTCTGGTCCTGAGGCAATGCAGGGCAGGTATAAAAGGCAGCCCAAGTCCCTGCTCTCTCATCGTCTTCTCTTGCCTCCTTCTCCTTGCGAACCAGGTGAGTTTGAAACCCCTTCTCCTCCTCTTCCATCTCTCTTTGATGGACATCTCAGCTGATGCTTGCTCTGTCCTTTGTTGGGGTTTGGATTTTGTTGCCATGACAGAGGGACATGGGGATGTCTGTTTAGAAAGGGGCTGGCATGTAGACTGTGGTGGCTTTAGGTTTATGCACTTGGAGAGAGCTTCCTTGCATCAGGCTGCTCTTATGTTCTGCCCCTAACATAGGAGACAATGAAGACTGTGTGTCTGCTGGCCGAGGTTCCATCTCCCCGCTCAGTAGTAGCTTTGGCTCCTTAGTGACAGGGAAACCAGGCTGCTCCTCACCCAGACTTTTGTTCTGCTTCCTCTTTGCCCTCTCCCCCAGGTGCACCTCCACGCTCGAGACATGTCCTGCTACGACCGGTGCTACCGACCCTGCGGCCCAACCCCACTGGCCAACAGCTGCAATGAGCCCTGTGTCAGGCAGTACCAGGACTCTGTGGTGGTGACTCTGCCCGGGCCCATCCTCAGGTCATTCCCTCAGAACACTGTTGTGGGCTCTTCCACCTCTGCTGAAGTTGGCAGGATCCTCAGCTGTGAAGGAGTGCCCATCAACTCCGACTGCTGTGACCTCTCTGGCATTTTCAGCCGCTTTGGTGGCATAAGGTACCTCCGCGGATAAAGATCCTGGGAAAGCCCCAAGAAGACACCTTGAGGAACTCAGAACATGGTTCTGGGCAGAAGATCGATATTTAGATATTGCTTTCAGGATGCCTGAACAGCTTTGCCTTTCCTTCCCTTTGCCTTGTTTGCTTTGGTTCCCCCTGTCAGCAAGGTCCCAGCAAGGTCAGCCTGGTGGAGACCATCTGTCTCCTCTCCCTCCATGGGGCAGGTAGACAGACATCATGCTGGATCTTCTCTGCTATCAGGGACTGCAGGGTCTTGGCTGCCCCTGGGGCTCCCTGCACTGCTGTTGTCCACTTGGATTGACTTTGTTTCCCTCTTTTGACTCATTAAAGTTTTGCTGCATTCAAGCCTGGCCTCCATGTGGTTCTTCCCTCTGTGGACACTCCCCCAGCTGCCAAGGTGAGGGCAGAAGGAGAAGGAAAATCATCCCTAGCTGCT